GGGGGGGGGGGGGGATGTTCAAACTCATGATCTTTAAGTTAACTGTACATGTTAGACAAGTTCTGAGTTAGCATACTGTGGGTTTACATGTGTACAGTTCAAATATATAACATATAACTTTTAATATCAATTAATACACACACACATATATATATATATATATGTATGTATGTATGTATAATATTTATATGTATAATGCCATGAAAAGCAACAGAATAAACAGTGGGAGTAATAATCAGTGTGTCAATTTCAATTCTGCCAATCTGTCTTAAATGCATTTATAACCCTTCTGTCTGTGTGTATCAATATATTCCATGCATGAGGTTTGCCATTTTGGTGCAGATGAGAACAGGAAAGACTCGTAAAAATATAGAGGAAATTGATGATGAGTCAAACCAATGGACCATTTTGTATATCTACTCCATGCACCCCCATTCAATTTCAGTATATATACAAAAACACACACACGCGGAGGAAGGTTCAAGAAAAATCCTAAAAAAACATGTGCATATAAGTAATTGAAGTTGTTTCTTGATTTTTATGCACGTTTGAATGTTATGCACATATGGATACTGAAAAAAATGGTTTACAAATTAATTGTACGAAAGCATTCACTCAATTGATACTAGAACTTTGACCACATTGATGAATCGAAGACTTCTGAATCTTGTGAAAAAAGCACAAATTTTTAGTAAGAATGAATGATGTTGCATAATTTGTGCAGAACTTAATTACATTCTAAAATCTGTCAACATGATAGATTTTGTACATTAAAGACCTTTCATATTTGCAAGACGTACCTTCTTTCGTTGCATGCATATACTATATATATATATATATATATATATAGTTGTTTGTTTACAGAAATTATGGGTGTTCAGTTAAGTTTTCATGTTATATTTGATATATATTTAACTTAATAATTAACCATGTATATATATGTATGTATGTATATGTTCATCCATTAATGTTAATTGAATTATGTTTAAAAAGAAGAAGTAATGAATTAGAATATTTGAAGAGAAGCAAAATTACCTTGAGAAGAGGGTACCACAATCACATCTATACTCTCTAGTGCCACAAGTTTTAGAATGAGCTTTCCAGTCAGATTGAACAGCATAGATCTTAGAACACTTGTCACACTTCCACTTCTTTTCACCATGTTTTCTACAAAAGTGTTTCTTGATCCCAGTGAGATCCCCAAGAGCCCTAGAAGGGTGGTGGTGCACACAACTTGGCTCAGGGCATACATAAGCCCTTTTCTTCATCTCATCCTTGTTGTTCCTTTGCTTCAGCTTCCATGGCAGGTTATGACCTCTTCTGTGAAGTTGCAGGTTCTGATCTCTTTGAAACCCTTTGTTGCAGATCTCACACACGAATCTGTTTGTTGCCATCAGTGTCTTTGGTGATAATGCTATCACTTCTGCATCTGGGTCTTCAATTTTCACCCATTAATTCAAGATAAACAACAAGTGAATATCAATTCAGATCATGATCATCAAAACACTTAACTTAACGACAAGGGTTTGACGCAATGGTTGATCATCAAAACACCCTTCAAAAAATATATATGTATATATATATAAATCTTCAAGATCATGAGCAAAATATATCTGTATATGTACCTGGATTTCCTGGGAGGTTTCTCTTTTTCTTGATCTTCTGATGATTAGGGTAGAGATCATGTTCTTGATGAGCAAGATTTGAAATTGAAGAAAGGGTCATTGATGGAGTGAATTCATGAGGAATCTTACTTGTAATTACTGAAGAAACAGTGCTGGTTGCAGCTTCTTCAGATAAAGAGGTTGAGTTTTTATTACTAGTAGTAGAATAAACTGAGGCTGAAAACATCATTTTAGGGTTTGGTTTTCTTGAGAATTCAAGAAAGGGAAAGACCAAGAAGAAGCCAAGAGATGAAGAATCAAATTCAAGAAAACAAAACAAAAGAAACAAACCCACTACCTGCTTTTAAACAAGTAGCTTTCTTTTTACTCTCTTCAGCTTATATATATATATATATACACATATATATATATATGTATGTGTGTGTATATATATATATATA